GGGGTTGGCGGGGGACGGGGATGGGGGATTAAAAGGGTAATTTGTGTTGAGGACCTCAGGGTTTGGGGTGGAGTGACTGAGGAGGTTTAGTGGCGCGGGGTTAAAGAGTATGTTGATGACCTCGGGACTGGAGGTGGGGTAGGGCTACAATGTAAAAGAGTTAATTGTGGTCCTCAACGGATGTTGAAAAGGTTATTAGGTGATAGTGGTCATCATGCCTGGGTAATTAGGGGTTGCAGGGGAGAGGATGGAGGGGTGCACGATGATGGTTGGATTGAGGACGTCGAGAGGTGGGAACACAATCATGGTCAGTGTTTGGTTGATGCTCTCTAGGGGTGGGTACACAATTATGGTTCAGTTGAGGTCCTCGACAAGAGGGTAGATAGTCATTATTGGGCTCAGATCGTTGAGGGAAAAGCACAGTGAGAGCAACAATAACAGTTTGGTAGAGGACCTCGAGGGGGGAAGGGGGTCACAATGAGTGTTAGATTGAGGGCCTAGAAGGGTGACTTCACAATGATTATTAGATTGAGGGCCTAGAGGGGTTGACTCACAATGATAGTTGGGTTAAGCGTCTCGAGGAGTGAGTTAACATCTATAGGTTTGGCTATGTAACAATGGGTCCAATTTCCTCTCCGAAATTTTTAATAACATTCTGTCAAAATGTACTGATGAAGTTTTTGTCTGTTATCGATTGGACCAGAGGTGTTTGCTGTTATTAGCTAAACTTAAAACTTGTAAATCCACACCCAAAAACATAGTGTAAACTTCGCCAAATATTACAGCAGACAGTTTATACATGTCTCGGCTCTATAGAATGTCCCTATTATTTTCGGATGGGGATAGTGTACGATGTCAGGTGCCTATATTTCATTTCTTTTTCACGTAAAGCAAATTATCTCAGGTTTTGTCTATGTGATAAATTCCATATGTTACAAAGTATTGAATATAGAAAAAAAATGGAAAGCATGATTCTGGAAAATAGCGTTATGACTACTCACTCCCTTGACAGAGATTACTTGGTATGTGTGTGTTGCAAATCATGTCATATTTTCGTTGAAAAAAATATCGATTAGATACACCAGGAATTTATTTGTCCGCACCAATTTAATTTTGTCAGTGTTTCAATAAAACCTACATATATATGGTTTATATTGAAAGTTACATATTCCCGGAATAGTTCTATATATATATGGGTAGACAAAGATCGTTTGTTACAAGCGCATAATCAAGTCCTGTGGCTCTGAACGGCGGTTAGAATGATATACACGGGAGCTAGGACATTGTGTTTCTTTTCCCTCCTTAGAATAATGAACATCGTATTTCATTTAAATACTTTAAATCTCGCCACCTGAAAAATTAAAATCGTAGTAAAATTAAAAATGACAAAACAATCCCAAATCTCAAAATAATGAGTTTGGAATTGATTTAAAGACGCTTTAATGATTAAAATACAGGAGGAAAATAGACACGAGTTAACTTATCTTATCGACATCAATGAATTACACAGATACCACTGTGCTGTGACAGTTTAAGTACATGTCCTAATTACATATTTCTACATCAAAAAGAGTTGGCACTGTGCATGTGACGTCATAGAGTTACTCAACCTACACTTATATGATATCACGAACTCAATCAAATCTTTCTTTGTTTTCCTCAGAGGAAAACTTTTATTGTCGTTTTAAAGACGTTGCCAAAACACATTACCGATCTATAAAATAACATCAAGTAACAATTGAAATTGAAGTTAATATAAGTGACAATTTTATAAAATGACAAAAAGTTTTCGCATGTTGATGATGAATAAGCTACATTATTCGCTATAATATTAATACGTTATATTTCAAATTGATATGGTATAATTCAAAAAATTGTGGTATATTTCAAAGTAATAGTATGTATTTCAGGGTAATTTTGTATGTTACATATAATATGTAATTAAGTACATATTATGGGTTTTTTCTGTAACGTATGTTACAGAAAAAAACATAATATGTAATTAATTACTTCTAATTACCTTAGAAAAAAATGTGATGACTGTTCTGTTAACTGTTCACTAAAGTTACTCAACATTTTTTATATAAAGGGGAGCAGTTTATTTTTTATGAATTGATAATGACAGAATAAAAAAGTAGAAAAAGAAAACAAAAAAAAAAACGTCCATCTATAGTATCCTGGTAACATACCAAAATACTATAAAAAGACGTGCTGTTGGCGATGGTGTCAAAAAGAACATATATTTATGGAATCAAAACACCTGCTAAAATCAAAATGGTTAGTTTCATGTTTATATCTGTGTCGTTTCGTTTTCATAAAAGGTTAATGATAGTTTTATGCACAAAGATGTGTCAATATTTCAAAATTTATTTTCCTCGGTCATTTTTCAGGTGTTCAGCAGATAGAAGTAACCTCCCATTATACAACACAACACTTAATTTAACATATGCAATGGATGTATATTGAAACGTTGGCGGGCACAGAGACAAATTATAAGGAGTTTCCAGTTTCCAACTTTCCTGAGGGGGCTGGGGTTGCAAGGGAAGGGGGGGGGGGGATTGGAGCAATACATTATTTTAAAAGATATTTCCCAGGTTATGACGCCCAAAACCCCCCGATGTATCATTTGTCTGAATAGAACCAAAGCCTTGCATAGTATACACTGGTATCGTAAAGATATTGAATTCCGTTTGTACATATCTTGATCTGCTCTCCCTTATAATCATATAAATTTGATAAACATTGATTTATCTACCTAGTGGAGGATAAGTGGACGCGAACACTATTTTACAACAAACCCGTGCTATCTCCCTATATCATCAATAAAAGATGCGTGACTGTAAAAAGGTCTCACGTTGTTACAAAGAAAAGAAATATTGACCATTTGGTCAGTGATTGACCATTGGTCATTTGGCCCTATTGCTCAAAAAGTACAAAAGAAGCATGTCTCCCAGATGTTTGTACCGTGCTAACGGGTTCCGGCCAGTGTAACGGTCCGGTTTTGAGTGAATAAATCGAATGGGATCAGGTAACAAACAATCCTTACAACCACATCACGTCGTAGTCACATAAAAGGGTCAGATGGAGTCACGTGATATCATGACAAAGCAAACACTACAGCTAAATCAATAATTCATACCCCTCAATGCGACGTTTAGCATTTTCGAGTAATTCCGGATAATTTTCCGGTCCGTTAATTACACACCTGTTCCGGTAAAAGTTAAGAGTTGATGTGATCACGATATTCTTTGTTTACAAACAAATGACAATCAACACGAGTGCTGTGTTAGTATAGGGGATATTTGTTAAGTGAAACATGTAGATGACAGTCACCTGAAATTTTATTTAATGACAAACGTTGTTCATTAATTACTGTTGATATTTTCTACAGAATCTCAATACAGTTTTGTTTTATATAGCTACCACTGTACAAACTACATGTATATATCAGTATAGACAATTGTTTTTTCCGTCATTAAGAATTTTATCAAACTTGTAATAATTTAAAAAAAACACCTAAATGTTTATAATAGAAAAGTATATTTTGTACTCTCAAATTAAGTAATTAAGTTTATGTAATTCTATTCACTGTTTTATATTATGATTACAATATAACAACGCTGTTATTTTCCATTTAAAAAACCCAAAACAAACAAAATATATCAACTTTTACAGCATCTAAATTTTCCCTTTTTAAATAAATAAAATTTAAGTCATTGTCGTCATTATCCCGTCATATATCTTTCTCACTGTTAGCCGTGTTCACGAATCACGTACATACAATCAACATTACGATATCGATCAGAAATAATTACAGTTCAATATATACGTTAATAATCAAATTCTACTTTTGCTTATATCACAGCTTATAATCTAGATTTAAAAAAAATAGCAGTACCAGCGAGAATGTCGGCGGTGTGGGCGCTCCGAGGGGCGTGGTCTGTCTTATTTTGACATTCCTGCGACCACGTGCTTTTGTTATGATACGAAGTCGACCTTCTGTCACTTCAACCGCTCAGGAAATTCACACAAATATTCAAATCTCTCATTGAAAAATACCATTTTAACAGACGTGAATTAAAACCGTCGCTGTAGACCCAGACGTTAGAGGGAAATTATCAAGAGAAATTCATTTTTCAAAACGTTGATATCGTCTGATCGCCGCACAGCGCAGGGATCGATAGCAATGTAAATCCTTGGGCGGTGTGCGAGTAGATGATCGGAGCATGTGTTGGAAGATATTAGCGTTGACCCGCTGAGCCATTTGATTGGACTGGGGAATCCCATGATTCGAGTCCCGTTGGTCGGGAGGCGGGCGGTTCGCAATCGATGACTGTGCTACGGCATTTGATTGGCTGTTCGGGTGACATCTTCGGAGCAAAAGACTTTCCCGAGGGATATATTCACTTCCTCAGGGACTGGAGAGTTACACTGTACACATGAATTCAACAAAACGGGTACCCGTGAGAGTTACTAGCAGAAGCTGTCGAGAGCGCATCCAGAGTAAATGATACCGAGTATAACTCTATATTCGATCTCTGACCCGCATTCCTTCAATACAAACAACAATTTTACACTGTGATTTTTGAAGAAAAAAAAATTTGAAAAAATATATATAGAAAAGAAATATATATATACATACATATGTATATTTTCTTTTAGAAGTATAATGTGCCAGTGAGTCGTGTGATTATAAAGTGTGCGGGAATATCCTTTGACATGAGTTGTGAGTATCGTGTTTACTAAGGGAGTTCTTACATGTTCGGGGCGCCAGAAACCAACCCATCGAGAATACAACCGCCAACAGCTTCAACACACATGAAGGAAGAACCTCTGCAGCAGACGACAGGGCAGCCTGCCCCAATTAGAAACTGGATGCAGCCTACAGTCGTCGACCAGGGTGGGGGAAGGTAGATATTTATTTAATCAAACAAAAACAACTTAATTTGTGATATTTATTTTATTTCATTTTTCGATTTTTTTTTTAAAACTCAACTTTGGACGGCGTTCACTCAATTTTATCTCAATTTTCACACCAGTTTTAACTGGCGTCTGTCGTATCCATCTCCGGTCAAGTTCAGCGTCTCATGTGGGATTCAATTCGTCGATGTTTTACTGACAAGCCAGGTCGACGATCGGACGATTATCGCTCTCACTATCCGTACTGAGAAGCTATGTTTTGGTCCCTGGGTACCTCTTGTCTATGTATCACTACAATGTCCGAAACTCCAGTGGGTATTTTCTTTTCGTTGCAGTGTTGGGTTCGGACGAGCACACTTTGAGAAACAACCCCCAAGCAATCTACGGAAAAGCAACTTCTTTCATTTTGTTTTGGCCTTGTACGATAGACAAGGCCAGCCTATTGAAGTAGAACGAACAGCCTTCATAGATTTTGTTGAGAAAGATACAGTAAGTCTACAGGTCAATATCATTTTCATTTTTTACCTTTTGTGGATTTTTTATGATTTCATTGAACTGCAAACATTCCGTATGACATTCATGTATGTTTTTGATGAAATGACTCATTTCAGTATTGTATTATATATATTTTTTAAATATATATGTCTGCATAATGTGTTTCTATGCACTGTCATTTATGACTCTCCCCTTTATTTATGACATATGGCGCTCCTGTGAAGTCAATCTGGAATTCTCGTTAAAACGCAAAATAGCTTGTTAGATCGAGCACTAGAAATGAAATATTCATAAACGGCTTTACACTGAAAACACGGGAAGCTCACAGCGAAAACAAACAGAGAAAGCTATAATATAAAATGCGTGTGTTAGTCCCGTCCCTTCGTGTACCCTTTATAATCTACCTAGTCTGTTTATCCAGTGCAATTCAGTGTTATATTGAGAGAGAAAAAATTGGAAGGATTAAAATCGCAATATTATTGCATCGCTGCCTATATCAGAGAACGAGTCTGATATCAACAGTGTTTGGAAATAAAATCTACAGTCAATGTTCTGGAGACAATATCTTCTGCTGTTTTAGGAACCTGAGGGACCAAAGACAAATAATGGAATCCACTACAGATTACAGCTCCTTTTCGCAAATGGTAAGTTGAAATTAAATTATTAAATGTTTTCTGTATTTCTAGTGCTTAAAGATTTTATGATATTATGGTGTTGGCTGGTATGATTTAAGAAAACGTCTGTGATGTCAAATGTATATGTTTTTTTTTTTAATATTGTCCAGGATGGGGACAGAAATTTAAAAAGAAAATACTGGATTTATGTATAATATGCATAATGTAGATAGGTTTTCGTTTATAACTATTGCTTAAATTGATGTCGACAACAAATATTTATTATACTGGAAGTAATATATTTCATCGTTTTCTAGTAAACATGTTATTTTTTTCATCAAATACACGGTCCGATTTTGATGTTGCCATGAATCATTTTATAAAAATGTATAAACAATGTCTATAGCATTCTGAGGACCAGTCGGAAATAAACTAAAATATATTCCCGTGTTACCAGTCAGAATAAATGAAACTAATGCGTGACCTTTTATTTTTCCCTTTTAACTGATTAAAACTAATGAATGTTTATATGTGTATGTAATATAGACTATTACGGAATGTCGACGTCTATGCGTATTCGAGCCGGGCAACTCCTCCGAGGCCAATTTACACGGCAGTCCCATGTAGTCCCTTGTCACCTACACACTACCCCCGGGGACTCGTAAATAAAATGGTTATGATAAACAATATGCGTTAGGCTGACAATTTTGCCGGTGTTGATGTTAAATTATTTACTAAACAACCCGCGTGCTAGCTATCAACACACTTGTTATCTAGCGTTAGGTATGGGAGTTTATTATCACCGTCACGGTCTGGGTTTTATTTAGCTCTTGCTAATAAGAACATAAAATGTTTAAAATAATATTTTAAATGTAATTATTCCGGTTGTTACGTTCCACTGTGACAGTAAATATGTGTTCTACTATTCATGTCTATTTATATGATATTATATCATAAAAAAAAAAATCAAATTTCTGTACGGCAAATACTGAAATAATTTTGATATTTTTCCTTTCTTGAAATCTAAATTATTTATTTAGAAAATTAAGTCAAATGCAAGTCCTAAAATACGATAAACCATAACGATATTTTGTCAGTACAAATTTTAAGTCCATATTTCCTGGATCCATGTGAGGGCTCGCTTTTCTAGTAAATCTTTATACATAACTAAATAATATAATATTATTAATTGTTTATTGAGTATCATATCACGGCGTTGTCTGTTTTTTCCCATGAAAAATATGATCGATTTTGTTTCACCTGCCTTTAAGATACAAGAAGAGATAACGGTTTAAGTTTGGCTTGTTGAATATTACAATGTTAGTTATCGGGATCAAATATCGTATGCAAATATTGACCTAACTGTCAGCGGGCAGTGCCACTTACTCATCAGTACCGATCACATCGGCAAATAATTTTCATTTTTTTCTGAGAATAAAATAAATCGCCATTAATGATAAAAAATAATCCGTCGGTATGTCGGTGTTCGTTCGTAGGAGAACGTATAAAGCCACACGGTAGCAATATATGATGGATTGGGGGCTACATGCTTTAGGGTCTGTGTTGCATCACTAGGCTTACAGCCCATGCTTCGATAACCTCTCAATCCCCCCCTGATGGAAGTAAAGAGAAAAAACAATTAAGTAAACTATTTCCGGTTAAATGAATTTGCTAAAGTGATATTTGATTAATTTTCTGATATGACCACGAGCTTATTGGTTAATTCAATCTTGAAATCGTTGCTTTACATTGCGTCCTCTTAATTCGTCCGATATGTTCACAGAGCCAATCACTGTTATTAATATTCAATTACAGAGGTCAACAGGCTATAGTGTTGTTTGAAAATATCTGTTAATCATATTTCATAATTATTTGCCTTAAATCAACAAAATGTCAAAATACTGCGTATTTCAGACAGTATCTGTGCTATTAACTATCAAAAATGTACACAAAACCTTTTCAACGGTGAAGCAAAATTGTTCTTCGACTTCATTGTTTCCAAAACAATCATAAACGTGGTGATTTATATTAAGTGTATCAGAATCTGTTAAAATACGACCTGTTAAATTATTAAATCAATGATAAATAATTACGAGGGGAGTTTCTGGGAATGGTTTTGTATGTAAACAGTGTTGACGAGTGTTTGTGTAGGTTTGTAGGTTTGTACTAGCTTCCCTGACAAGAACACCCTATACCCCACAGGTCGTCTCCTGCTAACGAGATAGGTTGTTGATTGTTTTTACATAGCCCCGATAACAGCTGTTTGTGTATAGGCATTAACGATCCGGAACACCCGATGTTGGTTTTGATGTTTATTTTCCCCTTTATTTTACAGGAGCTCGGCAAGAGCAGGACCTATATATTCGCCTCATTGACTCCGTCGGAAAAGGGGTAAGCCAATTTTACGGAATCCAAAATATCACATCAAAACGAAAAGCAAACATGTACATAAAATGGTATTAAATAAACTACAGACACAATACACACAACATCTTAAAACTTGTTCAAAATGTATATTTAATGATGATAGGCATAATTTGAATAAAACGTTACAAAATGTATCTGATGCAGGAACTAATTTAGCATATTAAAAGTTACATAGTAAACATACCATAAACAAACAGCATTGTCGAAGCAGGACAATAGAAACACGTAAAGCAATCCTACGAAAATGTCAGAAGTCAGTTAAACCTAATTAACAGAGTGATTTATCTATTATCATGTGACAGAAAGCAAACTGCGAGAGACAAAACCATTTGTTTGAATCAGCATTTGCTTATAAATTACAAGAGCAAACTTCTGCCGTGAAGACAGTGCAAAGTAAGTCGGAAGCGCGTGGTCCATTGTGTTCGTGATGTAGGGGATATTCATCTCGAACTCCTCTCCTGAGAGTGCTGATGGCTACTCTGATGATATAGCTTCTGTTTACATTGTATCATATCCTGCCGTGATAAAGCGACCTATTGGGAATAAATATAACGAAAAATACATTTTTTACAAAGGAAGTATAACATTTCACAATACAATCACTTTGTATGTTTTTATTCTAATCATAATTCCGGATATGTTTTATCCGGCCTCCGTTTCTGACGTTAAAAGTCACCAGCGTCGTTTTGTGACGTTGATGGAATTCCTCGTTCATGGCTATTTGTTTTAGTTTAATTTGTAATCGGACTATTTCCTTAGTTGAATAGCGGTAATGTTTTAACAACACAGAGTGTATCATGCAATCGTTTTAACTCAATTTTTCACCGTCTGAATCGATTTTCTCTGGTAATATAATTTGGCTCTATTGAAATTATGAGTGTTCATCACCTGATTTCCTGTATTGCAATTATTTCTCTCTCTCGGAAAATCACTTAATTTCTTGAATTTCCTATGTTTATATTCCTATAAACTACACTATTAGTTATAATATGAATTAAATTGCAATGAAATTCGCTTTCTCCGGACACAGAATTGATCGGGACCGGCATGCAAGCACACAGTATAATGAATAATGGCCTGAAATCCGGATTTCTGGAATGTCACACACTGTCGGGTTTTGCTTTTAGTTTCCCCATGCTATTTTTCCGGAACATATGGCATCAAAGCTTAAAGATTGGTTACTAATGTAAATGAAATTCTCGCGCAATTGTGTGATGCTGTCTATGGCACGTTCCGTGCGCGTGTCACATGGAGAAATGTCTCGAAGCAGAGCCGATCCGAAGCAGACCGTCTAAAACGTTAGATCTAATTTACTGGGAAATGCAGCTAGGTAGTGCAGGCGGGAGGGTTTGTATAGACACTGACGCGTTGTAGGGGGACTGGAAGCTGAATCAATTAATCCCAGTCTCATTGTACTGCTTATTATGGCTCACTTGCTCAATATTGTCCGTTATTCATTAGCTTTGCCTGTGCCGTCATTGTGTAGTATAAATATTTTATGGCTAACATATTGGGAACGCAGGGAGAGACACGCTGGTGAGAGGGGATTCAAAAGTACCCACCAAATATACACTGCGTGGTCGGTCTCCTTAAAAAACTGTATACAAGGTATTGTAAGCATCCTTAAAGCATTAGATTGAATGTAAATTACTACTAAATTCTTTAAAAATAAAATCAAAGTGTATGGTTGATTTATCCTTACTTTTTGTAAAACCTGTGGATTAGTTCGTGTTATTTTTAGAAACATAATTTTTATACATCAAAAACACCGGGACTATAATACTGTAAGTCTGAAGATTACGGTTTAAAAATATTTCAATTATTTTCATAAAACAGCAATATACTATATACGTATAAAACAATTCTTATTAATTAAAATTTGAACAAAACAGGATATATTTAGAGTGGCGAGCGATGGAGCGACATCCGTCTTGTTAAGAGAATTGTTTCATTGTTAAATATCAGGTTTATTGCTTTCATTATATATCGTCAAAGTATCTACATCCTGATCTGCGTTATATGTCATCTGAAATGTAAATTTAGTGTCGTATTTTCCCTACTACTCATTAGATATTCATGACTAACAACAAACGATAAATTATGAGGAAAAACACGTTCGTCAGTATTGTTTTTAAATGAAAATCCATCGCAACTTTCTTTTGAATACACTATGAAACAAACATCGAATGTCTATGAAACAAACATCGAATGTCTATGAAATAAACATCGAATGTCTATGAAATAAATATGATAGTTATAACTATAACGGAATCGTTAGTGGAGATATTCATGACAATTCTAATTATACATCACACCTGTCAGAAGTATAAAATGACACGACAGTCTGACAGTAAACTTTGATCTATATCTGTAGACGATATATAATTGATTAGCCCCATAGGAAATGCACGCGCATTCCTTTTTACTGTCACACCTTTTTTACTTCATTATTAACTGACTAAATAAGGAAACGTACTAGCTACACGAGTGTAAGACAAAATCAACAACATCACAATGTCGACAGATGTCTTGGTTTTAAATATACATATCGTGCTCCTTTTTTATCCCGAAAACGCACATGTTTTGTGTAACATTCGGAGTGAAGCGTTATAGGGTTGATTCCAAAATAAACATGTAAACAATCATATGATAATTCTGCACTTCCGTTTTAAAACTAGCATTACTTCAAACAATTGTTCGTTATTATCATGATTTTGGCTGTATACCCGTTAAACTATTTAGTATGCCAATCCACCTGTACAATTTACATGTTTCATTTCTTTACGTGGTGAGAATTAAGCTTAAAAAGAATACAATACAATTACAGTACACTGTAATATACTGTAATTACAGTACAATACCTTTTTAATAAATACAATACAATGCAAAGAAATACAGTAACAATACAATACAATGACAATACAATGCACAGAAATACAGTTATAATACAATACAATGACAATACAATGCACAGAAATACAGTTATATAGTACAATGACAATACAATGACAATACAATGCACAGAAATACAGTTATAATACAATACAATGACAATACAATACACAGAAATACAGTTATAATACAATACAATGACAATACAATGCACAGAAATACAGTTATAATACAATACAATGACAATACAATGCACAGAAATACAGTTATAATACAATACAATGACAATAAAATGCACAAAATACAGTTATAATACAATACAATGACAATACAATGCACAGAAATACAGTTATAATACCATACAAAGACAATACAATACACAGAAATACAGGTATAATACAATACAATGACAATATAATACACAGAAATACAGTTATAATACAATACAATGACAATACAATACACCGAAATACAGGTATAGTACAATACACTGACAATACAATGCACAGAAATCCAGTTATAATACAATACAAGGACAATACAATACACAGAAATACGGTTATAATACAATACAATGAAAATACAATGCACAGAAATACTGTTATAATACAATACAATGAAAATACAATGCACAGAAATAAAGTTATAATACAATACAATGAAAATACAATGCACAGAAATACAGTTATAATACAATACAATGACAATACAATACACCGAAATACAGGTATAGTACAATACAATGACAATACAATGCACAGAAATACAGTTACAATACAATACAATGACAATACAATGCACAGAAATACAGTTATAATACAATACAATGAAAATTCAATACACAGAAATACAGTTATAATACAATACAATGACAATACAATACACCGAAATACAGGTATAGTACAATACAATGACAATACAATGCACAGAAATACAGTTACAATACAATACAATACAATGAAAATACAATGCACAGAAATACAGTTACAATACAATACAATGTCAATACAATGACAATACAATGACAATACAATGCAAAGAAATACAGTTACAATACAATACAATGATAATACAATGCAAAAAAATACAGGTACAATGCAACACGGTTTTAATGAATAAAATACAATTAATGGCAATACAATGGAATACAACACTTCCAACCCAAGTGGACGAGACTTTATTCAGTCTGATATGTATATCTTTATATGTGTAATGTTTATACATAATCAGTAACGTTTGTTTGTTTCCTTTTTACGCAGGCAATCGTTTACGAGGGCCAAGATAAAAACCCAGAGATGTGCCGGGTACTTCTCACACACGAGGTGATGTGTAGGTAAGTAATACTATGTAATCTAACGATGTTTGATAACAAGTTACAAATATACCTGTTAACCCTTTCACCCTATGTAACTTTAGTATACTGTACCATGCGTTGATCTAGATGGGTCCATTATTGTCTACAGTGGTAAAAGGGTTCAATACAACTCGTTTCTCAATGCATTATAACATTATTTAACTCTCACCACTACATAAGTTATCACTGGTAAACTACACTGAACAGCAAACTCTCACCACTACATAAGTTCCCACTGGTAAACTACACTGAACAGCAAACTCTCACCACGACATAAGTTACCACTGCCTGGTAAACTACACTGAACAGCAAACTCTCACCACTACTTAAGTTACCACTGGTAAACTACATTGAATAGCAAACTCTCACCACGACATAAGTTACCACTGGTAAACTACATTGAATAGCAAACTCTCACCACGACATAAGTTACCACTGGTAAACTACATTGAACAGCAATCTCTCACCACTACATAAGTTACCACTGGTAAACTTCATTGAACACCAAACTCTCACCACTACATAAGTTACTACTGGTAAACTACACTGAACACCAAACTCTCACCACTACATAAGTTACTACTGGTAAACTACACTGAACACCAAACTCTCGCCACTACATAAGTTACCACTGGTAAACTATACTGAACAGCAAACTCTCACCACTACATAAGTTACCATTGGTAAACTACATTGAACACCAAACTCTCACCACTACATAAGTTACCACTGCCTGGTAAACTACACTGAACAGCAAACTCTCACCACGACATAAGTTACCACTGCCTGGTAAACTACACTGAACAGCAAACTCTCACCACTACTTAAGTTACCACTGGTAAACTACATTGAATAGCAAACTCTCACCACGACATAAGTTACCACTGGTAAACTACATTGAACAGCAATCTCTCACCACTACATAAGTTACCACTGGTAACCTACATTGAACAGCAAACTCTCACCACTACATAAGTTCCCACTGGTAAACTACACTGAACAGCAAACTCTCACCACTACATAAGTTACCACTGGTAAACTACACTGAACACCAAACTCTCGCCACTACATAAGTTACCACTGGTAAACTATACTGAACAGCAAACTCTCACCACTACATAAGTTACCACTGGTAAACGACATTGAACACCAAACTCTCACCACTACATAAGTTGCCACTGGTAAACTACACTGAACAGCAATCTCTCACCACTACATAAGTTCCCACTGGTAAACTATACTGAACAGCAAACTCTCACCGCTACATAAGTTACCACTGGTAAACGACATTGAACACCAAACTCTGACCACTACATAAGTTACCACTGGTAAACTACACTGAACAGCAAACTGTCACCACTACATAAGTTACCACTGGTAAACTACATTGAACATCAAACTCTCGCCACTACATAAGTTACCACTGGTAAACTACACTGAACAGCAAACTCTCATCACTACATAAGTTACCACTGGTAAACTACACTGAACAGCAAACCGTCACCACTACATAAGTTACCACTGGTAAACTACACTGAACAGCAAACCGTCACCACTACATAAGTTACCACTGGTAAACTACATTGAACAGCAAACTCTCACCACTACATAAGTTACCACTGCCTGGTAAACTACACTGAACAGCAAACTCTCACCGCTACATAAGTTACCACTGGTAAACTACATTGAATAGCAAACTCTCACCACTACATAAGTTACCACTGGTAAACTACATTGAACAGCAAACTCTCACCACTACATAGGTTACCACTGGTAAACTACATTGAACAGCAAACTATCAGGTAAACAGTTCAGTGTAGTTTACTAGTGGTAACTTATGTAGTGGTAAAATTAATTTGTTGTTCAATGTAGTTTACCTGTGGTAATTTATGTATTGGCATAGACAAGTGGGTGTATAGAGGTGAAAAAGAGTTTGCTGTTCAATATATGGTTCAATATATAAGTGGTTTGATTCCTCCACTTTGTTATAGACTGTGATATCTAACACGCACAGTTAAATCGTTGGTCTGTCCGTGTCGCCAAAGTTGAAAGGGTACACCTCCAGGAACCTTGTTTACGTTTATAGAGAAATCGTATCCTCCACACGACGAACACGTATGTTTTATTAACACATTATATCAGGGACAAATACAATACATTCGTAATTATTAACAGATAGAAGTGTCTATTGTTTAAATAACCATAGAAATCACCGCTGAATACTATAATAACACTGTACATATAATGTTTACAAAAAAAAGCCCACATATCCAACACTGGGAATTTCCCTTGAGTCGTGCAAAATGAATATTCCATGAGCAATATCTACTCATATCGCTTTAACTGTTTATAACTTTTGATGTGACTTCTATCGGTATATAGATTACCATCAGTATAGGGCCGTGATATGTGTAGTACAACGCCAGGGCGTGGTAACACGGAGCCCAAGATCCCTAGGGGTCCATTCAGAGGGTCGCTGTCTAAACGATAAATCTGATCACCTTTCTAATAATTTATACTAAGTCGCTGAACCTATACGTTCTGTGAACCGCACAGGCATTAACTAACCTTTATATTTGTTAAGGGGTGATTAATTAATTAGCATGTGTGCATTGAGATGAATACCACCCATCTAACCGTAGCCTGGTGGTCGTACCCAGAGGAATGACATATTGAAAAAAAAGGGCACCGGGTTTTGTAGTTTTCATTAAAATGAGCAATTTATATCATTTCGGCAGTGTTTTTTCTGGTTTAATTGGAAATCTACTTAAATTTTTAAACAAATAAAGACACATTCGTGCTAAATTGATTTTATCATTGTTCATTTGGGAACAATGAAAGGTTGTTTTTTGAACGTTAGAAAGAATTGTGCATTTGTGTCAATATCAATTATCAATGAAATAATTAAGATGGGTAAAACAGTAATTACCTATTTTTGTAAAGTTTTCGTAGTCCCACAGTTAAAATCATTAGTCTCTATCTGCAAGCATCAGTTGTGATCCTGGTTTTTAAGTGGGTTTTCTCACGAAAGCAGCATTCTTCTTCTAGAATAATTTAGGCTAGAAGACATTAGAACCAGCTTCTACAAAAGGTGCGGAAGGGTCGTTTCGCATGGAGGAAGTCAATAGTGGTTTAATTAAAGTAACTAAAGTATCTACCCGGTTTACGAGTTTAAGGCACATCAACTTATACAGACATAAGGCGATCAATTCAACAAAAGAATTCTTGATTTGCGTTACGTGGTCGGCTCTCACGGAAGGCTGGAGTTTGTCTAAAAATAATCAAGTCCAAGAACGCTTGGATAGAAACAATAAACTATTTACATTTCGCTAATTAACTAATTAGTTTTTGAGCTGAATCAGTTATGTCCTGTAAGCAAATATATCGTTTTAATTAGTACGACAAATAGGTACTAGATATACTAAATAGATATATGAAATAAGGGTATACTTAATATCAGTAGTTCAAGCTTTCTGACAGGGCGCAGTGCTGCTGTTAGACACCGCCCCCTAGCGGTAGCCCTTCATTTTTCATTCTATATATATATCTTAATCGGGCTGGACACGCGTTACCCAGCTGGAACCACAGTTGGGGGTGGGGTGAGGAAGGGGGAAGGGGTCACTGATAAAGTCTCTCCATTCGTTACACCTTTTGAGTTACTCTATTGGTGATTGGGTGTCCGATAATGTAGTGAAGTTTGAAACGCACAGGGACTCCCTTGTGAGATTACGACTAACAATGGCTACTAGCGTTACATATAGTGTCTCGGACGTTTTCTCTGCCAGAGATAATAGAACACGTTAAGAAGCACCCTGATATCACACAATGCTCATTATTCTGTTAAATTTAAAGTTTAAATTTTGTTAACCTTATTGTAAAAAAAAAAAAGTTTTACCATGTATTTGTTTTTGATCATGAGCGATCGCTTGTACTGAGTCCCTGAACATAGATATGTGTTGTGACCGGTGATCGTATGAAGTCCCTGATCATGAGCCAGTGATCGCTTGTATTGGGTCCCTGAACATGCATATGTGTTCTGAGCCGGTGCCTGAACGTGTGTAGTCCCTGAACATGTATAAGTGTTCTGAGTCGGTGATCGTTTGCAGTCCCTGAACATGTATATGTGTCCTGAGTCGGTTATTGTTTGTACTCCTGGAACATGTATATATGTTTCCTGAATCGTGGAGTATTTATCTAAGTAACTGACTTGCTAAAATTAAATTTGAATTACAAATAATAATAATTAAAACAAACATACCTGTCCTGGGATTCAAACTTGATCGCCATCTGATGATACCGTTAAGAAACAAACAAAATAACAAAAGAGAAATCATTAAATCAATTATTAAAATATAAAAACCCCAGCTATTGATGTAATTGGTTGTCAGGTTTACGTAAATTCGTATAGCAGCCTACCCTCTGCTAGCTCCGGCACACTTGTTTGTTATCGTGTTTATTCCCATGTAAAAATTAAAAGATGTTGAGGAGTCATGCATCTTAAAGTGCTATTGACACCCGATACAGACTCTAAAAATAGATCCAAGGTCATTCTGCATCGACGAGAATGACGTCATATTTTACATTGCATTGCACATTTATGAACTAATTTGTAAAATTAGAAATAAACTGACAAATAACTGTGTAGAAATTAACTTAAAATATAACTTCTGTTTCAAGTATTACAATCACATTACGATATCCTGCAACAGTTTGCAATCAAAGGTTATTTTCGTTTAAGAGTTAATGTTATTTGTTATGCATTTTCATAATATTTCTATAGGTATTCATTGTAATACACTTATTTCCAGTTCGATCAATTTGTTGTGTGTTTGGAATATCCACGACTTCTAGTGCCTTAGAACACTGAATAGGTAAACGTATGGGTTCTTAATTTATGGAAATGTTTCTTTACTGTTTACTTTTACCTATTTCAGATATATTTTCCATGATTGGAACACTTATCGATGTTTATCTTTTTCAGCTATCCGTCATTTGTTAAAAAACATATACTTGATACCTGAACGTTTTCTGCCTCCATTTGAATAACATTTGACCCATCCCAGCATTTTGTTTTTGATAGCTGTTTGGCCATAATATGGCCCGTTCTGATTATAAAATCTTTGACAGTTGTTTGCCTTTCAGTTAAACATTATGTTTGACAGTTGTCTGCCCTTGCGGCTAAACATTATGTATGACAGTTGTCTGCCCTTGTTTTCTCACTTCCTGTTTGTGTTCCAGCCGTTGCTGTGATAAGAAGAGCTGTGGTAACAGAAATGAAACCCCTTCAGACCCCGTCATCATAGACAGGTAGGTACCCTTTTATACATCTGACTAGAAAATGAAAGCACGACGTATTATCCACGCCACCTAGCGGAGAGTGTGATAACAAGAAATAAATCTCAGGAAAAAGCCACGCTAAAAGATGTCACAATTATAAAATATTACTTATTTCACTTGAACGATTGTTTCACGGGAAAAAATGAAATAATTAATTTAGTAAACAAACTTCAAGGTGAAACGATTTCATTAAAAACGATAAATTCATAAATACGAAGAAATGCACAATTGCAAAATAAAACTTTCACAAAGTCTGAGCAGTCAACGGTTGAAGAGCTGAAACACAATAAACTAACTCTCAGTAAAACAATGTAGGTATAGGTCTCCTGTTAACTCAGGGTTACGACCTGATGCTAAGGTTCAAATATTAATACGTTGTGCTTTAGGTCATTCAGAAAACACAAAGGAGAAATAATTATTTTTATTAAAAACAAAACAACTCTTTATCAATTCACAAAATGGTCTCTTAATTGATTTTAGCGTCACCCCTCTCTATCTTTTCACCCACAGTTGATTTGAAAACAATGACATCAGATATACCGGTATATGTAATGATGAAATGGAAGTTATCCCACTCCTTAATGTATAAGCCCAATCATAATTGGAATTTCATATACACATATGCACATGTAACTTATTTGCATGAAGATATTGTTAAAAATATATAAGTAAATACAATTATTTGAGACAATTTTACACTATGATACGTGTGCAATGAGTTTCGTCATGCAACACAATGCCTGGAAGTGGCTTTTTAGCTCCAGTCTGTCAAAAGTCCTGTCGTGTTCAGAAATATATACCTATTACGTTTGTGTTGTTTGGCGCATAATATAAAACTTGGGGTCTGTATAGGATAAATTAGTGTGCAGCCGTGAATATATGTACAAACGAAAACATAATAAATACTTCATTATTGGTATGTAATCTTGAGACATAGAAAATGTTTGGACAATATATATAGTTAATTCTGAGACATAATTCACAGGTTATATATTATACATAAATAAGAAATCAACACTGTGTTTGTTTCGTTCATCGTGTACGTAATACGTAAGGGAATGCATGCATAAACACCCTAATTTACCTAAACGAATGTGACTTTGTCCTACGGTCGATAATAGTCAATCAGAAAGTCCCTTTTATTCTCTGATCAAAATGGCCAAACAACGTGTAGTAATGGACTCGAACCATTATGACTGTTAGACTTAGACTATTGGGACTATTGATCTGATGCCGGTCCGGCTCACTCAACAAGAGATAGTATATCATTTACGAAAGTAAGCCACACATAAAAAAAAATTGGCTCCCGTAGAAAGGGCGATGCAAATGGAACCGCCAACGGGAAACGAATTCAGACAAAGTATTTGTTAATATGCATAATGTATACAAGGGTGGATTTCATTTCAATGAATTATTGAACACAATGTAATTATGTACAGAGGCCAGATATGAACAAAAAAACAGAAAGAACAAATGTGTCTGCGTTGTCGGAAAAAAAGTGTCATGCAATCATTATATAAACATATCGTCAAGTTGTTGTGTTATGACATATTGCTGATTTATTATGGATTCGGAGCAAAAATGATAACAGAAAAAATATCAACTATTTATTTGTTGCTGACATCATAACTAGATAACGTAGACGTCATGTTTTCGACGTAAACAGACAATTTACATAGTAATAGTTGAAATCAACTACGCGTGGACTGTTCTAATTTAAATATATTGAGAGCGGAATATACCCCTATGTACTGGTATCCTCTTTACATTTATACCACGCCGTATGCTATATCTGACAACACTAGATTATTGTCGACTCAAAACTACAAAACAAAACGTTATTATTCCGGAATAAGAGCACATTCCCTGTTTTGGACGTTAGAAATTAGTGTGTCGTTTCGCACCGTCCAAGGTTTATGATTATATGCTACCATTTAATTAGACCAATTGATAATTATACGTCTGTTGTGACTTTTTAACCCCTGCACGTGCGTGAGGGTCCTCAATTTGCCTAAAAGGTTATTTATAGTGCAACTGCCCTCTGTCTGCTTCAATACCCCAGCAGGAGACCTTGTAATTTTGTGACATGCGTAGTTGCTGCATCCTTCCTGACCACGCCCCAATTGTTCGAGTTAATTGATAATCTGTCGATTTTCTCTAACGGTTAAGAATTTGGAAGAAAATGCATTCCCTGGATGGATTTCAACGAGCCAAGGCAATTGTTAGTTACCTATATTGTCTTTAATTGTGACAACTGATATGATTTTTTCATTTCAAGCTTAAATGTTAAAATACGTTCAATTTATTTAAAGTATTAACTTATCTATTAAAATATTTATAATAAACGTTTATATGAACTTTGAAATGTATTTACTTTCAAACATTTCAAATTGAAGATTTAGTGATTAGTTACAATCGTTTTCTAGGAAAACAGTTTGGTTTAGTGTTCGAAACTTATGTCCACCGAGTTTACTGTAACAGCCATTCTCTCTATCCTTTTAGATGACACGATTGATGACGTAGTCCGATGGTATTTCTTTAAAAATTACTTTTATCTGAAATATACAAAATTGAACAACTTTTTTGTCGATTCCACATTATCTGGCGTTTAATAAGATGGTTAAAGCTGTACACAATTGTACACTCATTGTGTCAATTCCCAAACATCTTGCGTGTATATTAGGATGGTTATTGTTGTACACAATTGTACACTCATTGTGTCAATTCCCAAACATCTTACGTGTATAATAGGACGGTTATTGTTGTACACAATTGTACACTCATTGTGTCAATTCCCAAACATCTTGCGTGTATATTAGGATGGTTATTGTTGTACAAAATTGTGCAATCATTGTATCTGGTCCCCATCACTTGGCGTATATTTTCGTCTTTTATATTAGTACAGAATTCTCATGTCAAGTAAATGACGTGTACTGGCTTAGTCAGTCTTCTGATAATGCTTGAACTGAAGCATATTCGCTCGGCATTGTAAAAGATATTTTTTTTATTATTTCTCAGGTCACAAAAATGGTCGTCTGTATTTCAAAAACATAATAATTATATTCGTACGTTTACAGTTCTTTTATGTAGAATGAAATATTATTCTTTATATTCCGTTCGCAAACATTCAGTACCAGGTATATAGGAATATGTTATTCTTTTATATTTTAGGCATTTACTAAAAAAAAAGTTTCTTACTTCTTTCTTACATTCTACATTTTTATGCCACGTAACCAACATATGGAATGCACTAAACTATTCTCCTCTATTTTAAACATTGTACAATCCTACCCTCGAGTACCTGCTACCGAGGTCTCATTGTCATTTCTCTCTGTAGTAACTCTGTGGTATTTAACTGTACTGACCGACTTCAGTCCACACACCAGTACAACTGGTCTACCCGGCTGACAGCTGGTCCGGGTCTTTAGCCATAACGACCCCCTGCATCGCCTGTGTCGAGCTGGTTTTAATGTATCGATGGCTGGTTATTAGCCTTACACGGTTAATTAAAGTGAACAGGGCACCTCGTGCTCGTCTGGGTGACTGATGGCGGCCTGTCTTTCTGCCTCAGTCAGTCGAACCCTGAAAGGCAAAATGACGGAATAATTAGCATGATTCCTAACGCAAAACTCACTGATTAATTAGTATTTTCGTTTTTTATAAAGTGTAAAATCAATAATTTTCTCATTTTATTTTATTCTTTGGCAGGAAATTGTTTGTCATTGTGTTTATGCTGATATGGTCATCAGAAAGTCTAGTCATGTCAATGGAAGTCTCCATGTTAGTATCGATACCGTATTAATGTTTAAATCCTCATTTTTTTATTGTTCAAAGTAAAAACAAACAATAAATCAATCTAACTTTTTTTCTTTTCTTTTTTCAAAAAAACGCTCCTTGTTTGTCTAAACTAGTATCAAACATAATTCATATTAATTAACACAATTTCTTACTTTTTCGTTCCTTGAATCAGTCAAGCCTGTCAAGTTCGCATGGTTTGTTGACGGATGTATAGGTAACGATAAATCAACAAATAATGCTTGACTAAACACATATTCTTAGCCATTTACATAACACGATAAACATAAACATAAAAAAATCACAATTCATTTTCCTGCGAAATATACCGCAAAATATCCCATTCACTTGTATGTAGCTTCATACGGATACTTATGTTCAACGCAAATATTTGTAAGCCGTTTGCGAGATAATTGCAAAATAAAAACTTGCGAAAATTCATCGATTAATAATATATAGATAAAATATAAATTTCAAAAAAAAATGGGGGAACATAGTTAAAAAGCCAATAATATAACACTCAGACATGACGGAACATGGGATTTGTACATAACAGAAATGCATTATTCTTCGCAAATAGATCGACAAAACTGCGTAAATTATTCTTGGATCTTAGCAATTTACAGGAAATATATTGATAGAGCCAGTATCATAAACCGACCATTGAAGTTAAAAATGTAGTCATATACAATGATGTCATACCACTGGGTCGTACATTAACAGGGGGTTATATTTCTATGATCATGCGATATTTGAGTTTATCACGCAGATATAACCTTGTGTAGGATCGCTCTAGACCGGGATTCTATCCTCCTATCATGTTCATCACAATGCCATACACCCGAATGTCATGAATATAAGATCTTTATGGTCAACTTCTTATCGCCACGTCTTATCAACAGCCACCGATACCAGAGAAGTGTAAATTATTGTGAAATTCCAGGCACACTTTCTTATCAGATTCATTACCACAAGCAAGCATTGCAGAAGGCAAGACGCAGATTTATAGTAAATGGTTAAAATCACGCAGTGGGCGAGAAATTAATAATAAAAAAAAAAACTATATTGCAATCTACGAAAAAAATTAACAATAGTCACATAAAATGTAATTTATAAGTACGATCACGAATATCAAATCCATAAACATAGAAGATTAAGTAAAACTTTAAACCAGA